AGTAGCGCAGACTTAGCATGTTACCGTAGCCCAATATTTTCGCAGGCTTTTCCATTTGCATAGGTAAGGAAAAACGATTACATTCTTTCCTAGATGAAACGATTTTGAACGAGTTTCCTGCTGTGTAGAGAAGAGGATTTAGCAATAGCGAAGCTATAAAAAACAAGAGTATTTGAATGCTTTGAAGATGAACTGATGGAATGTGGCACAAACCCTAAAAAGGTGCCGCAGCCACACTTTTCTGGAGTTGTGCCAATCCCCCCCCCCAATAATTCACCTTCAAAAACGTTTTCAGCGAATGACACTTACATGATTCGATAGCTTAAAATTTGGTAGATGTCGTAGGAGTAAATTAAGCCCGACGCCGTCTCTGCCTTGAGTAATAGTGGTGAAAACGCAACATTGGAAACGAAAAATGGGACAATTTTGGCCATTTTGTTGAGGAGGATTTCTCGGTTGGGCAATGTCGAAGTATTTTCTACTGAGTACAAAAAGAGATAGCTTTCCTCTCGTGAAACAAAGTTAATCATGTTCGAAAATGACCATTTCACTCAAGTGACTCAGTACTATCATGGATATATCACTCTTTATGCTTGATAGCGCCCCTTTATTATGCTACGGTAGGTACACGATGACAAGTTGATGTTTCATGTGCTTGTATTTCCCCTACTGGGCATCTGGCAAACTATTCACCATTGTTATGTCATCGCTATTGTCGGTATTCAACTACAACCGCTTCCCTTTCTGACTCCTCCACGACCCCTCAGGTGTGCCGCACCCACGCTTTACCCTTGGTCATAATCCAGGGCTCGTATGCCTGAACATTTCGCGACGGGAATGAAAAGCTGTAGCGACGTTCGCTCGCGGCTTAGTCATAACGGGAAGCCGCTCTCGTTGTCAGAGGGATGTTCATGCATACGGGGCTTGAGATTCTGCTTTTATACGTCTCCTTAACGTAGACCCTACCGTAGCTATTTCAGAATGTGGTATAGCGATTACTACATAGACCTCATACCATAACCTATGTAATGCCAATGTGTGAGTGCGTCAATTTATTATGAGAAAAGTCATTGAAAAGTTGCAAACTTAATTTCGAAACTGCGATTCACAATTAGAAAAAAGATTACAGGCGAGCTTGCCTTGTGAGTCGCCTGATCAACAAGTTTTCAACAGCCTTATAACCTTTAGAATCTGCTCTGGCAAAGTTGTAGTTTTAATAGTTGGAGGAAAAAAGAACTGCGTATTGATTGTCCAGTACTGAAATCGATAACGTCACCAACGAGTATGTTTAATCGCTGGCTTCGAAACCAGGTACTCAGCATCTGAATCTCATTGAAAGAGATCTGGAGCACCACTTGCTGGGTGGGTAGGTAGATTGAGCAGCTTGTAGTTCATAGACGACAAGAAAACACTGTCGATCTTAACACCTGACACTATTCGTAGTTGGATTAGAGTGTAGCCTGACTTAGAAGAAAATTTCTAATACAATGTGCGAGCCCTTGGTTGGAAAGTTTATTATGGTGGCGCATTCAAAGTTAGACAGCCGCAAGTTTGCCTGCACTGTGAATGAAAGTCTCAATATTTTTACAACCTCCCTACTGTAGTTTTTTTTTTGTCTAGAGCCATATACGGAAGCTAACATGATCAAGCGCACGATGATTTCAGACCTAATTGCTGATCAGCATTCAATTGAAAATCTTTCCATTAGCACGTCTGCATAAATCGCGTTGATCGGCTGTTTCTGTTTTTTTATGCTTCGAAAATTTATTGCTTATTAGCACATAATTTGCATATGTCTTCGCGCTCTTCTGTATATGCGTGCTTAACATTTAGCTTGCTTAATGCCTTAACGGCTTGTTGTTTGAACTCCAAATTATGATATTTTCTCTTTTATCACTATGCTTTTAGATATCAGCATTCGAAAAAAGTGTAAGCTATTGGACCTCAGTGGATATGTTTCTACCAATATTTGCTGACAAATCTTGCTCGTACTAATCGATTTTTGACCCTTGAGAGTGCAGTGGCCGTATGGCACATACTTTCAAGTTGTCCTTTTGGCGATATGCTTAAGCGCAGATATCGTCAGCGAATGTGGGCACTGCAGAACACTAGCCTAAACCTAGGATATTCTCGACACGTCAGATACACATAATAAACCAACAAAATATCATTGTAGTCTTCATTTTTTGACTAACATCTCGTTATGTTGACAAAAAATTTCCTTTACAGGCGTTATGTTTGCGCCAAAAATGAGCCTTGAATCACGCGTGCCTTTCTCTAGTATTACAAGTACTTTCTCCGTGCTATTACCAAGTACTCATCAAATATACTGTCTCAGTTCAAAAAGGCTGAAGTGCAATTTTAGCGGCGCTTATAAGGCAAGCTTTAGTCTTAGCCCAAATGCAGACCTCTGACAAAGTACTCGAATTGCGCATCGTATCCTTATAACTTCTATATAACAATATGAGGTCGTTCCAGAAGTTCTTAGCGTTTTCATTCCCGTCCTCATTTCACTGGAAGCGGTTCATGCGGCAAGCAGGGCCCGGCACCGTTGGTTTGGGGTTAAACTGGACTCCGTTTTTGGAGTTAGAAGCAACGGGGACATCGTTTTTATGAGGTCCTGGATGAAGCGCCAAAAAAACACGACGAACATGTCAGGTTTCACGAGTTGAACGTGTTCTTTCGCAAGCGCGCGAATTTCAAATGCAAGACTCAAACAAACAAATGGCTTGTTTACAGCGCACAAACAACCACATGGCTCCGAATTTGGGCTATGTGTATACATTACTCCAAACTATGTTATGTAAAAAGTTTCCAAAACTTATGTGTCCTAATATCCGTTCTCGAATTTGTTGGTTTCTAGACCAACTACCAAACCAACTGGGTTGGTTCGGAGCATAAATATCGGAGAGTTCACATAAGTTTTGGACCTTTTTGATTAGGACGATTAGAACGATCAAAAATCTATCATATAGTGAAGAGAGCGGATCAAACCGTTGCCTCTCCCCTTTTTTTGAGTCAAAAGTAGTATAATTCTACGCGTCGGTAGATATCGCGCTCCGATCACTTGCGGTGTCCTTTGAAATATGTGGCGAAAAATGCATCGCAGGATTGTTGAGGCTACAGATTTGGTTGGCCTAGGAGATTTCTACATTTCCAGCATCAAAATTGTACTATACCCAATGGCAGAGCCTTCAATCGACTCGAAATGTTTTCTTTTTGCTTTTTTGTTATATTACATGCCTCAAAATGCGCTTTTTTTTCGCTTTTTTGTTGCTATTTTGGTTGAATAAGGTTTTCCCTACTGATTTTCACGTCGAGAGGGACTTCGTAAATTTTCGCGAAGTCATGGGGAACTTCGTTTCCCAAAAACCTCCAAACCAACGCGTGCCGGGCCCTGGCGGCAAGACCTGCATATCGTTCTAAAAGCTAATCATGCCTTTTATATTGTATCGGTTTCGAAATGCTGGCCCACTTCTTAGCTTCCAACAGTAGAACTTTTACAAGACAAAAAAGCATTTTCGACATTTGCTAATTTTTCTTACAAGAAAGTGTTTTTGCAGTTACCAACTGAATTGTGACAAAATTTTGTCATTTCGTTGGTCTACGAAAACGTTACGAACTTATGGGACGATCTAAAAAGTTCGGAATCTTCAATTATATTGCACGGGCTACCTTTTTGAAGACAAAAACATGTCGATAATGCGTTACGAAAGTTTTGGACTTCTCAAAATCGGACAATCACACTCTTCTATAAGTTAACACAGCTTTGGCTAAAATTCCAAAATGAATCTTTGGAACCTTATCCAGAACGGAGCAATCAATTATTACCTCTTTGACAATAAAGTGAGATAGGAAGTACTAGTGACGGTCCTAGGATTTCCGGAGGTGGAGAGGGGGGGGGGGGAGGAGAGGGAAGAAGAAGTGGAGGTTTTTTGAGTAGATGTGCGCGGCGTAAGCCACTCTTGGATCTTTTTTAAGAAGCTTCCCAAAAACTCTGCATACTCATTACCCCGCCGAAATTTTAGAAGAAGGAGACGCGGCAGCAGCCACTCCTAAATTTTCTCCACAAGGCCAATTTGAATTACTGAAGAAAACTTCGGAAATTGTTTCAAGTAATTACAAGTAGCTATCTGCACATTGCATATTTATAAGGCGTACCATACTGCAAATTAGTTGAAGCCAGGCCTTTCCTCAGAGCCATGACTGGCAAATACATGAGAAGCCACCAAAGAATTGGGGTGTACAATTTTCTATGTATTTTCTAGAAAACTCTTGTGAACGCATATGACACATCTATGTATTATAAAAAAGAATATTGAAATTTTTTTCAATCCGTCAATTTTGTAGATAAATAAACAATGAAAGATTTGCGCACGCAGCTACAATTCGGGAAAACGCCAAAGTAGTGCCCTTACGTCGTTTCCCAAATAACATTTTGAAAATCAATCAAATATGCAAATCCATGTCTAAGAACCTCACGTTAGGCAAAGAAGCAGTATGAAGTCAGTATCGGTATGAGACAGTGGCGTACCCAGGATTTCGGCTCGGGGGGGGGGGGGGCAGCAAAAATTTTTTTCAAAAGAAGGTGCGTGGCATTAGCCACGCACTCCGAAAATTTTTTAGGGGGCTTCTCAATATTTTGCGGGCCCCCAACCCCTGAAATCTGAAATTTTTTTATAAGGCTAATTTGAATTTTTGAAAAATTTTAAAATTATTTTAATTGTTTACAAAAATAAGCAAGTCACTTGCACATTTTTAAAGCTCATGTAAGTAACTTTCAAAAAATTCGCGACCCGTTCTCGGGGGGGGGGGCCTCGGTACGCCACTGGTATGAGATGGTAATAGTATTTACATTTACAAGTCAGCTTAATGTTAGCTTTGATCTGAGCTCATCTTTATGCAGATTTTATATAGGACTGTATCTTTGCGCGATCTTTACCCACCTTCAGAGATTTTCAGCGCAAGATTTCCGACAGCCTTGTATAAAATATCATTTCAGAAGTTTATCCAGCTCTTCGAAGAAAATGAAAGTGTCAGTTGCTTTACTTGTGACGGTGTGTCTTTTACTTGCATTTACACTATTCTTTGATTCATTATTTGCAGGCGCTTTTGGCAATGACTTTTACCGTAGTCGTGTCGCAAGAAGGTAAACAGCTGAAAGACCTACAAGCGGATGTATCGGATTTCTTTACAGATTACTATACCAACGATGATAATAGCGGGACAGGCTCGGATGCTACATATGATTACTATGGCGATGACGATAACTATAAACCTAAACGTTACAATAATCATAAGGTTGACTCTGATCATTGGTGGGAAACATTAGAAGTGGTTTAGTCGGTTGCTGATATGTAAAGAAATTATACTAATAAATGAAATTTGTCAAGTCAGAAGCGTTATTTAATTTGACTCTTGCTAAATTTAGCAAACTGTGTCTTTAAACTGAAGATGATGACTAATTTGCTGAACATCCTGTAATGACCTTCGAACTGACTTTACTATGAAGCATATGGGCAGTTACAGGTATACCTTTGCCTACAAACAAACGAAATAAGGAGAAAGAGGAGGTGCTTATCTAATACGTCTATGCTTGTAAATAATGCGTAAAATCAATGTCTATTCATTTTCTCTTTTCAATCAATTTTGCATCCCGGGATGCTGTTCGAATAGGCTAAAATTAAACAGTGATTATGTCAACTGTTAATTATTGCTTAAGTGCATAACTTTTCTCTTTTTATGCAATTAGAATTTTGGCATTACGTAATTTGTGAAGTGAGCTACTGTGCACAAACTGCTTGATTTCTGAAGCTAAAATGTTGCTGAGGTTGATTTACTAAAATTAATAAAAAGGAAATTCAAAACTGAAACAAATCAAAATTTGGCGTTAAGAGGGGTCGAAAGTGTCAAAGCTTTTCTAGAGGGCCGTTGATGCCAAAGAAGCGGAACGTTTATTTGCCAAGATTTTGCATAGTGGATAGCCTGACATACTAAATGCGATTACCTCGTTTGAGTCAAGGTGAATAAAATACATGGTAAAAATTTCGTATACATTGAAAAAGTCCTAGCGCGCGAAAGCAGTAACGTGTTCAAATCTTCTGAAACAATCTTGGGAGGCACGCCATCATTCAGTTCTACTGCGAACTAGCCTATGCTATTAAGCATTTTTTTACTTTAAGAAGACTGCATCTTGACAATCTATATCTTGGGTCGTAATACTTGGAACTTCATCAGAATTTATTAGGAATCGGAGCAAAAAAGTTGTTCTCCATGCTATAAATACCGGATTAATTGTAAGACAATTTGAGAACCACTGTATATCAAAGGTAAACTGGTGCAAAAACGACACAGTACGTCATACCTGTGATTATGTATGGAATTTAATAGATAAATGCCAAAGTGAGACTCAGCAACAGCTATTAGGTTGAACACTAAGTTTTGCATCTTGTTTCATAACTTCACTCTCATTCAACATGGCGCACTCAAACTTTGGCATCATATAGAATGCAATGTGAGCTACAAGTGAGCACAAATTGTCTGAATTTTGAGTACGAAATAGAAAAGTTTCAGGCATTTTTCGAAAACTAGTGAAATTTGAGAATTTTCGGGGTTTCAAGCTAAAATAAAGCCTTTGGCAGCCTAGACCATGCGCAGCAATCCGGTTTCGTCTACAAACTATTGCTGGAGGTTGACTCCTTTGGGCTATTAAGAAAGAAATAAAATTTAATGACATGTCGAGATTTGGCGTCCTCACAAAGTCGAACGAGCCGACGTACGCAAGAGCTGCTGGGGACGACCGTCAATGACTAAAGAGTCCGAAGCTCAAATTCCTACGAGACTTCACATAGTAAGGTTATTTAACCTGCCGAACGCGAATATCATATTTATTCTTGAATCAACGCCATTTTCCTTGTTTAGGGTGAGACCCCATATCGTACACCTACAGTAATCTTACAAAAAGCCCTTATCACACAATTTCACTATCTTTTTCGTGATCAGCATGTCGGATAACACCCCTGTGCCAAGTTTCAGCCAAGTCCGTCAAATTTTGAATTTTTCCGCTTCATACCATGCACCTACCGTAACCCTCACTGCGACGTCAGAATTTGATAAGACAGCAGCTGCGCTTGTAGCTTACGTAATAACCAACAAAGTGGCAAAATTTGAGTGCACCATGTTGAGTGAGAGGGAAGTTATGAGACCAGTTGCAAAACTTAGTGTTCAACCTAATACATAAGTCCAATCTGTGCATTCCATCCTAACAGAAATGGTCTTCTCCTGATAGAGTTTCTCCAAACAGTAGCTGCTTTTTTAAATGAAGGAGGATTTCTGCAAAAGAGGGTTTCATTTTAAAAAGTTTCTGCCACAAATTCTACTTCAAATGCAGCTGTGGGAGAACGAAAAGCATTTTCAGGGTTAGCAGTTTGCTTCATATCTGCACTTTTCCTGATATTTTGCACCATCGCATTGTTGTCACAACTGTATAGCTATTTTAAGTTAATTTTTTTCATATGCTGCTCAAATGTACTACTCGCCAAAGGTAGTACAAAAGCGGTCTAAGTTGTTCGATGTGTTGTGAATCATAGAGGTCAAGTTCAAAGTAAGAGAATAATAAGAGAACTCTGCAAAACCACGCATTATGAAACAAGTTACAATAATTTCGGAGCATTTTTACGAGTCTTGATGTAACTAGCTCCCGAACCCTGCAAAAACGCTTTTTGGGTTTTATGTCGAAATTGGTAATTCTTGACTATCAGGGCATATACAAAGATCAATTCCATAATAGCTTGCATTACACAGTCCCATTTGTGGAAGGGTGCAAATCGGAGTTTGTTTGTTTTTCTCAGTTTTGCGCGAAAAAAATCCGCAGATGCGCTTATGAATACTCCTATGTATCTGATATATGACGAAGCGCTTGGGTTTAGGATTTTTTGAGAAACGCCGTTTTTTTCTATTTTAGCTCCAAATTCTGCTTGATTCCTTGAGTGGATCTCCGGCGTTCTTTCTAGACGTTGCTTTGCTCTATCAAAATCGCCTCAAAAGCCGCGATGAAAGCAAAAAAACAGTCTAGTTAAATTAGGATGGGTTTGCACACATTCACTACATGAATGTACACCAGTTCTCGAGTCTAAAATGTACAGGGTCAGACGATATGCTGATTGAGCTGGTCATCTCATGTCAGTATGCTGCATTTGTTCTAAGAGAATCATCGATAGTTGTTAAACGACTGCCTAAAAGTATAAAGTCGGATATCTGTTGATACAGTTGTATTTTGTTGCATGCTTAAGGTACAAAAATGCAATTAAATTAAGAATGCATCTACTCGAGGTAGGACTTGTGCAAGTAAAGTAGCAATTTTATTTGGAAATTTATTCATTTGCGGCTTTGTAAGAAATTCCAAGCGCAGAAAGTGAAAAAATTTCGGCATCAGTGGCTCCTGGAATTCCGCGCAATTTCGCAGAATTCGGCGCATTTTCGGGTCTTTTCGTGAAAATTCGGGAAATTTTATGCGTTTTGTGAGCGGTATCGTATGCACGCAAACTCTTGAATAAACCTTTCAGCAGATATCAACAAATAGAATATATGAAGTTTCGCTCAGAATGATGAAAGCCTAAGTTATATTGAGTAATTATGAAAAATAAGTTTGGATTACAAAGGAACAGGGATCAAGACGACTTGTTGTAATTACACGAAGCTACCGAGATAAATCGAAGCAATGAAGAATAAGCTTGAAATTTGTTTCCACGAAGACTGCGTTATTACTTCTTTAGCTGCATTCTGAGCAGAGCCTCCAGCAATGTAGAGCTCATTATAAACTCATTTGGGGTCCAGTAGCTGTGATTTAGCAGCGAATGAGCTCTGAGTCGCAGTGCTAATTCGTTTTACATTATGCAAACAAATAAAGGCAGCACTAATGCATTGCGATCTGAATAATGAACAGAGAGAGGGTAGCAAAGATATAGCACGATATGTTTGGACAGAGTTAATTTTTTACCTTGGATCTTAACAGTTTCAATTATGAATGCATTCATGGACTTGGATCAGGATATCATTAATCAAAGCAAAGAGAACTGTTCAACATTTAAAGGATATGAAGGTTTGGTGCGAAGCTATGGTATGTTAGACCCCACGTAATGTACTTCGAATATTTTTTGAAGCTCTTAAGTATTGCTCAAAATTCTAAATTGTAAAATTCACTATGGTAATGGACAAAGGGGATCTATGGCATGAGAGTATGCGTTTAACGAAAGTGTTATTATTAATGTTTATATCTAAAAATAAACATTATTCAGAAGAACATGTTGAGCAGAGAAGATAATCAGTTAGCAAATGGCGTACTAAGCTAGAGAATTCCCCCCCCCCCCGAGAATAAGTCGCAAAATTTTTGAAAATTACTTATGAGCCATAAGCTTGCATATGTGATTTTATACTTGTGTTGAATTAGTGTTCAAATGTCTTCAGAAATTCAGATTAGCCTTGTAAAAAAATTACGAGGGCGTGGCAGCAGTCCTTTTCTGATACTGCGGGACTATATGCGCTCAAAAAATTTTTGAAACATCTCAAAAAATCTTTTGGAGTGCGGGTTTCACGCCACGCACCCTGTAATAAAACTTTTCGTACCCCTCCCCCAATGGAAATTCTTGGACCGCCACTGTCGCTTAAGTATGAACATATGGTCAAGTCGATGACTCTAAGTCCTAAAATGTAGTATTCTCACTTCCTAGTTTCAAATTGAAGTAAGGATCTGGGACCAAACATTTCTGCCCGAGCACATAATCTTCCAACAATAGGTAGCAGAAAAATAGAAATCGTTAAAGAAAATATGTTTTGTGTTGTGCGAAATATGAGCTTCCTACGTCGCTATGCCAAGATCTAAAATTTTTCTGATTCTTTACAACCTTTTCTACCCAAGTTTTCGGGGGGTTTTTTTGCTTTTTCTTCTAAGCAACTGAATAAAGAGCAAGCAATAGCAGGCACATTGCTAGTTAATAACACGACTTGTAAATAAACTTGCTTACAGATAAGCCTACCAAAATCAGTACATCAAATCCGCAAATATTTGGCTTTTACAAAAGTATGAAAACGTTCCATTTGCAGTATCTCCTTACAAAGTTTTTGAGGTTCATTTTTTTTACCTGTGAACCATGCATAAGAGCGTCTACTCTGCTTCAAGTAGTATTGAAGCAATCAGATTAAAAATACTCTAAAAGTGTCTGGCTACCAACTTCGGAAAAAGAAAGTGAGCACATAGCGTTTCAGTGATAAACAAAAGCTCCTATCTTAGTGTGGTTTAGCAAACATGACAACTTTTCGGAGTAAAACGACAAACTTTCAAATGGACAACTTGT